CGACGACTTTGGCTAAAATTGGTAATGAAAAGGAAAGCCATAGCTTTGGCTAAAATCGGCAACAAAAACAACCACGGACTTTGGTTAAAATCGACAACGAAAAATGAAAGCGATAGCTTTGGCAAAAATCGACAACAAAAGGACGAAAACCACAATAAGGTAAAATCGACAATAGAAAAAAAAATTGACAACGAAAAACAAAGCGAGTGGCTTTGGCCAAAATCGCAAATTGGCGACTTTCGACAAAAGTAGGCTAAAATCAACAAAAGGAACACACATAGGCAAAAATTAACGAGAACCGACAATGGGACCAAAATCGGAGAAAATGCACAAAAATCAATAAAATTAATTACTTTAGCATGCTTAACAAGAACGGAATTACATGGTAACATTTTAAACTTTAATGACTTGATTTTGTATACAAGTTATCATGCAAGACGTAATCTTAAAATATGCATTCGAATACCAACAAATATTAACACATTTAAACCAACGCATCATTCCAATCATATCATAAAAAAATCAAAAGTACACATCGTTGCAATTGAAACGGATTACACATGAATAAACATATCAAATTACATCACATTCATTCAATTAATTACATGACATATGTAATATGAAGCAAATTTAATACATGTAAACAAAAAATAAAAAAATAAAAAAAAGTAAAAACAAATTACGGTAAAGAAGAAAAAGAGACGAGCTGATTTGCTTAATGATCTCAAGGTCGGATCCGACCTTTTCGACCCCGATGGAGACTAATGCTTAGTCAATCGAGGAGGAAAGGTGGCCGCCGATGCGGTGGGGAGGTGCTTGGTCGGGGCAAGGCGAGCTACCGGCGTTGCCACGTGCTCGGGTGCTCGGGCGCCGGGCGTTAGCGGCCGAGGTTGGTTGGCCTAGGCACTCGGTGCTCGGGCCCAGGTGCTCGACGCCGGGCATTGGTGCTCGGCGCGCGTTGGTCGCTAGCGCCGACTTTGGTTGGCTCGGGCGCTCAATGGAGAAATAGGCCATCATACCTTAATTAACTACATCACAAAGAACTAAGTGAGTCATAGCTTAATAAGTTAACTCGTGCATGCCAAGATCGGTTTGAAAATACTTTTCTATCTTTGGACATGTCTTATTTAGATACTTTAGGATTTTCATAATCTATGTTTAGCGAACTAGATTCGTCTGCAGATGTGTTCTATCGAGCCTCTAAAAGTGCATGTTTGCACTTGTCCAGTCTTGAACCATTGCCATTATCATATAGAGAACCCATGAAACCCCGTTATCATAAAAATCCTTAAGTCATGAAAACCACATTCTTTAAAATCTTTTCAATTGTTATTGGAAAAAAATGACATAAAAACATGCTTCCATGACTTTAAAACATTTTTTATTTTATTTTTTATGAAATTAGGCATGCATAAATATTTCATTGATAATGCATAAACATGAGGTGCATGCCATGAATAACAATGCGATTATGGTATGATGGTGTATAAAAATCAATAACATAAATGCATTAAAATATTGCCTTGCATAAATATTTTCAACCATCATAATTCATACCAATATCAACATAACATTACAATCATCTACATTTCAGCCATATACAACATTCATCATTCAAGCACATTAAATATCAATTCAAAATTCATGTGTGCATAAAGTTATTCAAAATAAACCAAAATCCCACATTCTTCCATATTTGGCTGAATTATACCTTAGCAAAAGAGAATGGCATTTGTAACGCAAAACACTAACATGAGACAGGGTGAACACTCTATTAATATAAAAAAAACCATGTATTTTAGTGTTTTTTTTTTTTTTTGTAATTATCATTTATATTCAATTCATTTTCAATTTTTGCTTATGTCAATCATCTTTAAATAATAATTTCTCATCTTTTTTTCTCCATTACATAATTTTATTTATTAAACTTTCTTAGAACAAAAAATAAAATAAATTAAAAAAGAGTAAAAAATGATTAACTTACAAGAAAAGTTTAAAATATAAAGGCTAAATAATTTATTTTTAAAACAAGTAAAACTATTCAATTCGTTTATAAGAACTAGAGGGATTAATTCATCATAAAAAAGTTAATTTAACATAAAAAGCCAACTATCCCGCTCACGAGTACCTTCATATACGAGTTACAATAATTGTTCAAGTAATTATAACTCGGTTGATTATTTGGTTAAAAGTCCTGCTTCATTGATTTTTTTTCTTTCATTCTTTATAGGATGAATGTGTGAGGAATTAATTTGCAACAACTTGCACAAGAAAAATTTGTGTCTATCTCTCCTGTGAATAAGCATGGTTAGTTTTTCATTAACATAAAATTTCTTATCTAGTGGTTAAGAAGGTTTGATCTCTTTTTTTGATTTCGTAAGTTCAAATCTTGGATTTAACATTTAAGACAATTTATTAATTTTCTAAATGTAATAGGCTGAAGTGAGAATACGATTTTAAAATGACTCAAAAAGAACTTGATTTGGTTAATTGGTCTGAAAATACCTTTACCATAAAAGATAAATTCATAGATACCCTACCCTAATCCCATTAACGATGAAAAGTTACTGATGGTATTGACACAAAGAATTTTGTTATATTTATTCTAATATTCTGTTCGTGGCAAACATTCTTTAAAACGACTTCTTTCTACAGTTCGTTAAGGTGGAAAAAAAGAAAACAAACAAAATAAGCAAAAATTTGGTTAGATGACTGCTTCATACAATTCAAAGTAAAACAATACAACAACCAACCACTCATGATCGGCCTGATTCCAATTTGGTTTTATATATATATTTGTCACTGATAGACTTTTAAGGGGGAAGAAGCCAGCCTTATCCCATATCTGGGCTTTGATGTTATACCGGCGTACTTCTGTTAGAAACTGCGTTACTAATTGAGTGAAGTCCATGAGCCAAACCTACACCATAACTAATTCGAGCCCAGCTTCAACATGATCACCCAACTAGAAGTCTAGAACCCCATATAAACATATAGCCTGACCAAGAAATAGCTAATATTTCCAAAACCAATGAAGCATTTGATGTGGATACCTTGCGTGCCTGATCTCAAACAGTACAGTATTGGCAGTGCTACATCGCCATCGCCGAGCTAGACAACCACATGCCTTCACTTCATGCCGTCACATCTACGTCCAAATATCCAAACAGTACAGTACAGTGCTAAATAATTTGTTTTTAAAACAAATAGAACTACCCAATTCGTTTATAAGAACTGAAGGGATTAATTCATCCTAAAAAAATTAATTTAACATCATCAACAACTATTCCATCTGCAGTACCTTTATATACGGGTTATTATAACTGTTAAGGTAATTCTAACTCCGTTGATGATTTGGTTAAAAGTCCTTATTCATTGATTTTTTTTCTTTTATTCTTTTATAGGATGAATGCGAGTAATTAATTTGCATAACTAGTACAAGAAAAATTTGTACTTTTCCAATGATGGTGGAACTTGCTTGGCATGACCGCCATCGAAGTTATTGATTCGAGCCTAGCTTCAACATGATCACCCAGCTAGAAGTCTGGAACCGCATATAAACATATAGCCCGACCAAGAAACAGCTAATATTTCCAAAAACAATGAAGCGTTTGATGTGAACATGTGATGCTTCCATAGGTAGGAAACGCCATTGCCACTTGCACAACATAAAAGGAGGCTCGATTTTTGGACGTTCAAAATTGGTTAGCTAACTTGAGACTTGATCATACATGACACAATCGGCCTGACACTATGGTTACATATGCTCATGGTTTGACTTTGCAAAGTGAAGCAATGGAAATAAGAAAGTGGAAAAAATATTGCATAATAAAATGTTCAGGGTTAGGTAGATTGGGAGAAATCGTTAAGACATTATTTATTTATAGTTATTAATAGTATTTAAATATTATAATAATAAAAAAATACGATAGATCTAATAAAATTTATTGTTATATATAATTATATAGAAAATAATTGAATCATCTATGGTTATAAATCTAATAAGTTATACAATTTTGTTTGTTGAATTTTGAATTAATGAATAATTTTACTTTTTTATAAGTATAAAACAGTGTTATTGAGTTTTTTTGAAATATAATAAGAATGTAATTCATAAATTAAAATTTATTTACGCTAATAAAATATTATGATTATTACATCAGGAAAGCGCTGAGATGAAAATTTTAAAATTCAATTTATCTATGTAGTATTTAACTATTTGCTAACTGTCTTGAAGACACCGTTAACATTTTATGAACTGTAACTAAGCTAGTCATCCTCCGACCTCCATAATATATAAGAGAGTGTCGGATGAATCAGCACCACCTTAACTCCCATCCCACAGGCCACTGTGGGTGCAGAGGGCGGTCATCTAGTCATCATCTACAATGGCTGCCCTGTAACTTTTTCAGTATGGGTGTGTCCATTAAGCATGGTAGTGTAGACCTTGCGTGCCTGATCCGACACAGTACGGTATTGCGCCATCGTCGAGTTAGACAACTGCATGCCTTCACTTCATGCCATCACATCTACGTCCACCCGATTTCCAACTATCCCGCCCAAATATCCCGCCCAAATATCCCGCCTAAGTCCCAATTATGCTGCCCAAATATCCCGCCCACGAGACCTTCTCCTCCTGAATTCCAAATTCAAACGAACATCCATCGCTCTCATCTCTTTTTTTATTTTTTTAAAAAAACACTTCATATCTCTTATTCATACATGGCCTACTTATCTCCTTATTCAATCTGGTCTATGACCAACCTGGTCACCATCTTCATTTTCTGTTACTTGTTATTTTCAATTGTGATTGCAGAGCTCTCTTTGGTCTTCTATAACTCTGATCTCTTTACCAACTACAGCTCCTTCTCTACCTCCAGGTTTCTCCTTCGCCTCACTTCATGCTTCTTTCTCTCCCTCCTAGCTCTCATAAACAGCGTCATGCATCTAACTTTTATGGAGGTTTTTTTAGTGTACTACGTTTAAACCAAAGCAAAGAAATGTGTCGAAATTTGAGTGACGACATACATTGTGGGACTCCAATCATTCCCTTGATGAGGAAGACAAGCGAGGTGGACGTGTTACGAGGTGTTGTTCAAATGATGTAAGGACTTCTTAAATAGACTCTGTTAATTTGCTATGTTTTGGAGTATCGTCACAGAATCTGTTAAAGAAGCAAAGTTGATGAAGTCCCTACGACATTAACACACAGTCTAGCTTCCCAGACGTTGCATGGAGGTATATCTCAGCATGAGAGGGAGAGAAGTTTGAATGATTTTGGACGGGGAAAGTTCAATGTGGATCTTGCCACAGACGTCGCATTTCGTGGGCTTGATATCCCGAATGTTGATTTGGTGAAGTTACGGAATTGCTTTTGTAATGATTGCATAAAGAACTGTTATTTTTGGGTTTATTTTGAGGCTAATCGGTTTTATCGATTGTAACAATCTGCAGGAATTAGGGAGAAGAAAGGAAGCTTTTGTAAGGATAAAAAAACCCGACAGGCACTCCTTACATCGCAGCTAATAATGTCCAAAACTTATGTTTTCAAATGCAGTGGCTCCCAATCTCACTTCTTATTTTGTATTTTTTTGACAATTATTGTTTCATGAGTCGCACAGGTGCACGGGTATTGTCTACTGGGAAGTTGCATCTAGAAGTTAATGAGTGTTCCTTATGTCCACTTTTTCACAAGAAATTAAAATCAGTAAATGTGAATCACTGTAGTGCTTCCAGCTGGAGTTGTTTCCCAAGTTAGAGAAGCTTAGCATCTGGATTTGTAAAAATGTAGAATCACTTAGTTTGGGCGCGGGACCTCTTGGTGATTTTACATCCCTTCATTCTTTGTCAATCTATGATTTCTCTAGTTTGGTTATTGGTTTGCAGAAAATTGAAGTCCCTTCCAGAGAGTATGCATTCGGAATCGCTGTGAAGTTGGTTCCTTTCCAAAAGGGAGTTTGTCCTCCAAATTACGATCACCTTCGCTTCGCGGATTGCAACAAATCAGCGCAGGCCGCATGTAATGGGATTTGCAATCAGTCCCTTCTCTTGGTGTCTGAAATTCTCAACTACAAGGGTCATCAACACCTCACATCTCTTGAAGAATAGAGCATCGAATCGTGCAGTGAGATTACTCTCATTGCACGCCGTATGCAATGGGATTTCATACCCTTCTCTTTGAATTATTAATTTGCATAAATTTATTTGTATGTATTGTTAGAATGAATTAATAATTTTGTTTAGAGTTTAGGGGTTTTAGGGCTTAGGATTTCGGTTTTGAATTTGGGGTTGAAGTCTAAGGTTTAGGTAGCGTTTTGCTAAAACGAAAAATTAAGGTTTAAAGTTTAGTATTTCAGGTTTTGTGTTTGGGTCAAAGAAAAAAAAAACAGATCGAAAAAAAAAAAAAGTAAGAAAAAGATAAAAAACAATAAACTGAAAATAAAAAAAGAAAAAGAAAAAGACAAAAAATATCAAAATGAAATCAAACATAAAAAATAAAAAAAAAATTAAAAGAAACTTAAACCTAAATAAAATGATTAAAAAAACCAAAAAAAAAATAAACGGAAAAAATATAAAAATTGATGAAATAAAAATAAAAAAATGAGAAAAAAATAAAAGAGCAGGAAGGAAAACCTAAAAATAGAAAAAACGAAAAAAAGTAAAAAAAAAAAAAGAAAAAAAATTCAAAAACAAAAAATCCGAGAAAAAACCAAACGTAAACAAAAAATATAAAAAAATGAAAAAACCTAAAAAAAATTAAAAAAATAAAAATAAAAAAACAGAAAAAAATAAAAAAAGCAGAAAGAAAATTCTAAAAATAGAAAAAACAGAAAAAAAATCAAAATCAATAAAAAAAATGAAAGAAAAATAAAAAAATAAAAAAACCTAAAGTGCAAAAAAAACCTAAAAAAACAATAAATGAAAAAAAAATTAAAAAAACAATCTAAAAATCTATATAAAAAAGATTGAAAAGGAAAAATAAAAATATCTAGAAAAAACACTTGAAAAAAAAAAAAGATAAAGGGAAACAAAGAAAAAAAACGAAAAAAAAATGAAGAACATAAAAAGCAAAAGACCCTACAAACACAAATAAAAAAAGCAGAAGACAAAAAAAACCTAAAACGTAAAACCCCAAAAACTAATATAGAAAAACAAAAATAAGGAAACATGAAAGCCATAAAAAAAAAGTAAACCAAACAAAAAAAAAAAAAAGGAAAAAACACAAAAAACCCAATAACAAAAACAAGAAAAGAAAAGAAAAAATTAAAATTAAAATAGAAGAATAAAAAATAAAAAATAAAAAAATGAAAAAATCTAAAAAAAAAGAAATCCCAAAAAACAAATTAAAAAAAAATATAAAAATATAAAAAAATTAAAAAAGATAAAAAAATTAAAAACACAAAAACCAAAAAATCAGAAAAAAACCAAAAAAGCATAAAGCAAATTAGAAAAATTTTTATAAACAGAAAAAAAATGAAAACTAAAAAAAACAAATTAAAAAACCTAAAGTGAAAAAATAACTAAAAAAAAATGCAAAAAAAAAAAATACTAAAAATCTATATAAAAAAGGTTAAAAAGGAAAAATTAAAAAAAAATACAAAACAAAAAACAAAAAAATGAAAAAAACGAAAAAAACAAAAAACAAAAAATAAGAACTGAAAAAAAAAAGAAGAGCATAAAAAGGAAAAGACTGCACAAATCGAAAGAAAAAAAGCAAAAGAAAAAAAACCAAAAACGTAAAAGCCCAAAAACTAATAATAAAAACAAAAAAAAGGAAAAAAAACAAACAAAAAAAAGAAAACATAAAAAGCAAAAAGACTCGTACAAACAAAAATTAAAAAAGCAGAAGAAAAAAACCTAAAACAAAAAACCCCAAAAACAAATATTAAAAAGAAAAAAAACCCAAAAAAAAAAGAAAATTAAAAAGCAAAAAAAAAAAAAAGAAGGAAAAAACACAAAAACCGAAAAAATTAAAACAAAAAAGAAAAGGAAAAATTAAAAATAAAAGAAAAGAAAAAACCAAAAAAAAAGAAAAAAAGGAAAAAACAAAAAAAAGCTAAAAGCAAATTCTAAAAGTAGAAAAGAAAGAAAGAAAAAATAAATTCAAAATCAATAAATAGAAAATGGAAAAAAATTAAAAAAATTTAAAAATGAATACTTAAAGAAATAAAAAACAACTAAAAATCTACATAAAAAAGATAAAAAAGGACAAAAAACCTAAAAAAAAGAAAAGAAAAATTCAAATAAATGTAAAAAAAACGAATGAACAACAAATAAACATAAAAAACAAAACTGAAAAAAATAGAAAACCAAAAAAAGCAAAAATAAAAAAGTAAAAACCACACGACGAATTAAAAAAAAAAGTCGAAAAAGAAAAATGTAGATGAAAAAAATGAAAAAAAAATGAAAAGAATTGCAAAAAACAAAAAAATAAAAAGGGGATTAGGGTTTAGGGTTGAAGGTTTAGAGTTTGGGGTTCGGGGTTCGAGGTCTATGATCTAGGGTCTAGGGTTTAGGGTTTAGGGTTTAGGGTTTAGGGTTTAGGGTTTAGGGTTTAGGGTTTAGGGTTTAGGGTTTAGGGTTTAGGGTTTAGGGTTTAGGGTTTAGGGTTTAGGGTTTAGGGTTTAGGGTTTAGGGTTTAGGGTTTAGGGTTTAGGGTTTAGGGTTTAGGGTTTAGGGCTTAGGCCTTAGGGGTTAGGGGTTAGGGGTTAGGGTTTAGGGTTTAGGGTTGAGGGTTGAGGGTTTGAGGGTTTAGGGTTTTAGGGTTGAGGGTTTAGGCGTTTAGGGTTTAGGGTTTAGGGTTTAGGGTTTGGGGTTTAGGGTTTAGGGTTTAGGGTTTAGGGTTTAGGGTTTAGGGTGTTAGGGTTTAGGGTTTAGGGTTTAGGGTTTAGGGTTTAGGGTTTAGGGTTTAGGGTTTAGGGTTTAGGGTTGAGGGTTGAGGGTTGAGGGTTTAGGAGTTGGGGGTTGAGGGGTTTAGGGTTTAGGGTTCAGTGCAGGGTTTAGGGTTAGGTCAGGGTTTAGGGTTTAGGGTTGAGGGTTGAGGGTTTTAGGGTTTAGGGTTTAGGGTTTAGGGTTTAGGGTTTAGGGTTTAGGGTTTAGGGTTTAGGGTTTAGGGTTTAGGGTTTAGGGTTTAGGGTTTAGGGTTTAGGGTTTAGGGTTTAGGGTTTTAGGGTTTAGGGTTTAGGGTTTAGGGTTTAGGGTTTAGGGTTTAGGGTTTAGGGTTTAGGGTTTAGGGTTTAGGGTTTAGGGTTTAGGGTTTAGGGTTTAGGGTTTGGGGTTTAGGGTTTAGGGTTTAGGGTTTAGGGTTTAGGGTTTAGGGTTTTAGGGTTTAGGGTTTAGGGTTTAGGGTTTAGGGTTTTAGGGTTTAGGGTTTAGGGTTTAGGGTTTAGGGTTTAGGGTTTAGGGTTTAGGGTTTAGGGTTTAGGGTTTAGGGTTTAGGGTTTAGGGTTTAGGGTTTAGGGTTTAGGGTTTAGGGTTTAGGGTTTAGGGTTTAGGGTTTAGGGTTTAGGGTTTAGGGTTTAGGGTTTAGGGTTTAGGGTTTAGGGTTTAGGGTTTAGGGTTTAGGGTTTAGGGTTTAGGGTTTAGGGTTTAGGGTTTAGGGTTTAGGGTTTAGGGTTTAGGGTTTAGGGTTTAGGGTTTAGGGTTTAGGGTTTAGGGTTTAGGGTTTTAGGGTTTAGGGTTTAGGGTTTAGGGTTTAGGGTTTAGGGTTTAGGGTTTAGGGTTTAGGGTTTAGGGTTTAGGGTTTAGGGTTTAGGGTTTAGGGTTTAGGGTTTAGGGTTTAGGGTTTAGGGTTTAGGGTTTAGGGTTTAGGGTTTAGGGTTTAGGGTTTAGGGTTTAGGGTTTAGGGTTTAGGGTTTAGGGTTTAGGGTTTAGGGTTTAGGGTTTAGGGTTTAGGGTTTAGGGTTTAGGGTTTAGGGTTTAGGGTTTAGGGTTTAGGGTTTAGGGTTTAGGGTTTAGGGTTTAGGGTTTAGGGTTTAGGGTTTAGGGTTTAGGGTTTAGGGTTTAGGGTTTAGGGTTTAGGGTTTAGGGTTTAGGGTTTAGGGTTTAGGGTTTAGGGTTTAGGGTTTAGGGTTTAGGGTTTAGGGTTTAGGGTTTAGGGTTTAGGGTTTAGGGTTTAGGGTTTAGGGTTTAGGGTTTAGGGTTTAGGGTTTAGGGTTTAGGGTTTAGGGTTTAGGGTTTAGGGTTTAGGGTTTAGGGTTTAGGGTTTAGGGTTTAGGGTTTAGGGTTTAGGGTTTAGGGTTTAGGGTTTAGGGTTTAGGGTTTAGGGTTTAGGGTTTAGGGTTTAGGGTTTAGGGTTTAGGGTTTAGGGTTTAGGGTTTAGGGTTTAGGGTTTAGGGTTTAGGGTTTAGGGTTTAGGGTTTAGGGTTTAGGGTTTAGGGTTTAGGGTTTAGGGTTTAGGGTTTAGGGTTTAGGGTTTAGGGTTTAGGGTTTAGGGTTTAGGGTTTAGGGTTTAGGGTTTAGGGTTTAGGGTTTAGGGTTTAGGGTTTAGGGTTTAGGGTTTAGGGTTTAGGGTTTAGGGTTTAGGGTTTAGGGTTTAGGGTTTAGGGTTTAGGGTTTAGGGTTTAGGGTTTAGGGTTTAGGGTTTAGGGTTTAGGGTTTAGGGTTTAGGGTTTAGGGTTTAGGGTTTAGGGTTTAGGGTTTAGGGTTTAGGGTTTAGGGTTTAGGGTTTAGGGTTTAGGGTTTAGGGTTTAGGGTTTAGGGTTTAGGGTTTAGGGTTTAGGGTTTAGGGTTTAGGGTTTAGGGTTTAGGGTTTAGGGTTTAGGGTTTAGGGTTTAGGGTTTAGGGTTTAGGGTTTAGGGTTTAGGGTTTAGGGTTTAGGGTTTAGGGTTTAGGGTTTAGGGTTTAGGGTTTAGGGTTTAGGGTTTAGGGTTTAGGGTTTAGGGTTTAGGGTTTAGGGTTTAGGGTTTAGGGTTTAGGGTTTAGGGTTTAGGGTTTAGGGTTTAGGGTTTAGGGTTTAGGGTTTAGGGTTTAGGGTTTAGGGTTTAGGGTTTAGGGTTTAGGGTTTAGGGTTTAGGGTTTAGGGTTTAGGGTTTAGGGTTTAGGGTTTAGGGTTTAGGGTTTAGGGTTTAGGGTTTA